AGGATATAGTTCTAGTGGTGTAGGACTTCTTTTAGGTTATTAGCATTTATCATCTTGATATGGACATTCCTATCATGATTATATATCTAGGCAGGATGTAATTATAGTAGCAAATAAATATGCAGAGGAGATACCGATTCTATACCATGTACCATTTTAACTTCAGGTGCTTATTTTGGAAACAAATCTATTGTGTGTTTTTATCTGTATATTGTTGATACATGATAGGCATATTAAAGAAACTTTATATGAGTAATATGTACACTAAGCCATTCAAGAATTTTTTTTTTATTAACTTACAGTTATCATAGTTTAGTTACAGTTTTGTAGAGACCTATATTATTATAATTTCTCTTAGTGTAGTTTCTGTTAGTGTAGTACCTGCTTAACTGTTACGGTAGGGAAGTTTTTGAAAGATAGAATTATTTTAAATATTTTTCCTTTAACAGATAAACAGATGGTGTCTTTATACTTTGAGTTCTGTCACACTTGCTTATGGTTGTGTTTCAATGAAGTATAATGAAATTAAAGTTAACGCTAAAAATTGAAGTTGCATGCTTTGCTGGGTTAACACTTAAATCAGTGAACAGTAATAGTATTGTGGAGATACTCTTCCGCTCAACTTCAAAATTAAAATTTGAGATGAGTAGTCTTGTTGGTCTTGATCTAAATTTGAATCAGTTGCTGAGTACAAACCCAAAGCAAACCACCTCAACTCTGGCCTGTGTATTTGTGTGTTTCAGCGCTTCAGTGGAATTTGGAAATCTGGATGAAAGTTCCCTCGTCCAAACAAGTGGTAGCGACCTTAGTGCAGAAGACAGAGAACTGTTGAATGCTTATCATCACAGTTTTGATGATGAAAAAGTAGATCTGGACCTGATTATGCACTTACTTTATAACATCTGTCATAGTTGTGATGCTGGTAGGTATATACACACACTCCCAATAAATTGCTGTGTATTCAGCTTCTGATGAATGGTGCTCTTTTTTCAGTAATAGCAAATAGGTAAAACCTTCCGAGTGCTAGTATATGCAGTACTGACTTATATTTGAAGTGAATTTTCTGTTCAAGTCTGCAAACGAACTTCTTTTTTAGGAGCGATTTTAGTATTTCTTCCTGGATATGATGAGATAGTTAGCCTGAGGGACCGTATTCTTTTTGATGACAAGAGATTTGCTGATAATGCTCACAGGTAAAACCTCTAGTTT